CCCAAAGTGATTGATGACATATACGTATTGTCATCGAACATGGCAAAATTATCTCGGAAATTTGTAGTTGTCGATTCGACATCAAACTTGACGTTCTCATAATTTTTATTATCTTTTTGAGATAAATTTATTTTATTATCTAACTTTATTGCAAACAAGATACTAGGTTGACTGTCACTCGCGTTTCCTTTGAAATATGAAGGTACGCCATGATTAAAAGAAGAAGTTAGGAGTGCAGGTGAATCATAAGAATTGATTCCGCCACGCAAACTAATATCGCTATCCGTGGAAATATTTTCATAATCGTCGGATGTTTCGGGAATAGCGCCGATTAAGCCGGGACGAGTCTGAAGAACAATACCCGGATACAAAAAGTTAGGATAGAACGACGGCACCGGGTTTTTCATGGGATTTTCTTCACGAGGATCGAGAGTCAGATATAAGTAATTTGCGTTGTGATCGGATAAATAATGATTATTAATACCTTCTTGAAGGTACGCTCTACCTATGTCTTTTACATCATGGTGCATATGCGCTTTGAATGAGAGGATGTCCGACGTTGTATTATCTTTATCTCTTTCTAACGATTTATGTCGCGTCGATGTAATTGTTTCATCTATGTCTTGTGTTCGAGGACTCTCTTGGATGTTTTTTAAAACGTACAAATTTTTGGAAATTGGTACTAGTAGAAATCTTCTATCAGTACTGGTCAGATGTTTGTCGGACGACTCTTTTTCAATATTATATTGATTTGAAGAATCCCTTTGTCCAATTGTAAATTGAGATTGAGAAGGATTAAAGTCCGACCAATCCATGCCAGCAAATATTTTAGGATGCGCAGAAAGTAGCATCTTGTTATTAGATTTTTCTTTAAAAGCACTTCGCGTGCGAAATTTAATTCTGGATCTTGGATTTGTACTTTTACCAAGTATTAAATTTTTATTAAAAAGATTCGTGTCAAACAATCCCCGCGAATTTTGATATTGCTCGACAGGAAGAACGGCTTTATTTAAAGAGCGATCGTAATCTAGCTCCTCTAATTGCGACGTCGGCTTCTTAAAGAAAAGCAATGATTGATTAGTTATTTCTGTCGTTGGATTCGTCATAGATTCCAAATTAATTGCGGTTGTTGATTCCGAAACTTGCCAAAAAGGAAGTTTTGCCAGTGAGATATCCTTCCTATCAATATCATTCACGTCCACGTAGTCATTCTGACGATACACTGCGATCTTGTCGTTCGAATTCTTCGTATGTTTTTTCCCTCTTTGTAGATTCCGTTTGACTCGCGCTAAGTTGCTGTTTAAAATCTTTTTGCTTTGCGAGTCATTAATCCGATTTCCTAAGGATTTCTTGCTGCGCTTTCTTATCAGCTGGACCATTGTATCGTCGATTGGTGTTTCGAATACTCTCTCTCGCGTTGCTCCACTTTGCTGCTTGAAATAGTTGTATTTCATGCTGCTTCCTTCATCATTGAAAAAAAAAGAAGAGAATATTAAGAATATATTACACTTATTTCTGTTTACAATGAAAAAAAATTATGAAAACCTTACAGATTCTAAATCACATTTAAAAACGATACAAAAATAATACAAAATTTAAAACCTGGATAAAAAGACTTGATGACTTAAATGTAAAATAAAAATGTGCTTTAATAGAAGCGTAATTAAGAAATAGCGACAAAAATTTTAATCTTTTAATCTTTTATAAACATTTTACCTGTTCAAGATAATTTATATAAAATAAAATTTATATAAAATTTTATTGCAATACAGAGATTAGTTATTCTGTAAATAAACATTAATTGTTATTAAGAGTACAAACGAAACAAGTGGTGGTAAAAATTAAATTAAATTTTTATTTACAAAATGATTAAGCCTTACATCGCAATAAAACTTTATATAAATAACCTTGAATATTTAAAATATTCATATTAAAAAAAATTGAAATTTTTGTCATTACTTCTTAATTACATTTCCATTAAAGCACACTTCTATTTATTTATTTATATAATTTTTGATTGTGTAATAATTTTTTAAACTGTTGCTAAACTTTTTTTGTATTATTCTTAAATGCGAATTTAGAATAATCGGCAAGTTTTTCATAATTTTTACGTTATAAATATAAAAATGATAAAAATAGGTATAATACATCCTCAATATTAAGAAAATAATCAGTCATTTATTGAAACCAAAAATAGGTTCCTCCATATATGAAAATAATTTTTAACTTTTATATTTAATGAAAGGATTGTTTAAAAAAAAATTGATATGTCTAAATAATTATATATACCTGACGTCGTTTCGGCGATATCGTCTCCAATTGCGATTCTCGCCATATAAGTCGCAATATAAAAAACGACAAAGAGAATAATTCGCATAGCGTCATATTTTGGGCATCCTTAGGTACGGTCTTTTTCTTGTTACGTTTCGCGCGTGTTATTGCCGTTATTTTGCACAAATATTCCATGGAGCATTACAGGATGCGTCACGGAGGTGTACTGTCATGGAAAAGCGATACTTGTAACTTGTAGCGTAGTGCTTGCATCGACACGAAGTTTACCAAATTCGTGAAGTTTGTGACAGGAGCAATATCAATAACGAATGACAAACGCAATCGTCAAGAACAAGAACATTTTAGGTATTAGAGATACCCGATTATTCAATTATTATACACATTTTCATGATATACTTAGCATAATTTTTACTACATTATTCTCATTTATTATTACACTTTATTGAAATAATAATTATAAAACTTATAAAAGCTCACATATATGCAATCTTTATATATGCATAATGTAAAATTGAATAACTTACAGATAGTTGTAATTTAAATACAATTAACTTTTTATAAATATATTAATAACATTTAAACTTTAGGATATATGTTAATTTATCAAAAAGCGTGGCTAATCGCAATATATATCTTTATTATAAACTTCTTTCTCTAAAAGTTAAATGTAATGTATTAAAGTATTAATTGTTTTTAGATTATTAACACCTGCAGACACGCAACCCTACGTTCGTGTATACGTATAATATAGATAATATATGCGAGATTACATAACTGTAAGGCTATTACAAGTTTTAACAATTGATATTGTATTATTATATTAATTAATCAAATTCGCTCTACTTTAATACAAATATTAACTTATACAGAAGAAAGTCGAACTAAGTCTCAAGTTATTTTATAATAATAATAGAAATATAAAATGATAATAATAATAAAAGTTTATAACAAAATATAAATATAATTATAATATATTTTTTATACAATTCAGACAGACACAATGTTTAAAATCGGATTATAAAAGACATTTTACATCCCACACAGCACAAAATGTCTCGTCAATATTTTCAGAATATTACATTTGAAATTTGAAATATTCTGAAGAAAATCTCAGAGCTATTGTGCAAATATCTCTGCAACGTCTTATGTCACCAGCATGTAATATTGTACATTTTAAAATATTGTTGAGATAATCCTGAATATGTTGCAGGAATATTCTGAAATATTATTGAGATAATTGAAAACTATTATAGCGTAACCAAGGGACGGCGATTTTTGTGTGGTGTGTGTGTGTGTGTAGAATATTCCACACATCAGAATTTTTCACGTGTGGAATTCCACACGTGAACAATTTTTGATATTTTGATATTTTTTTTTCTACACATGAACGATAATTTAATATTCAGATTTTAATATTTAAAAGCTCGTATTCCATCGAAGATATGTTTTTCGACATATTAAATAGCCGAAAATTAACTGTAACATCTCTCAGAGGCGTTGTTACGATTCTCCAAAAAGATAAAATATTTCTAAGATATTTAATTATAGATATTCTGAAATATTTGTAACATTATATCTCCAAAATGTTTCAAAAACATTATAATGTAAATGTAATATTTCGAATAGAATATTTCTAAAATATCTTACACTTCAATATTCTATTTCAAATGTCTATAGAATATATCAAGAATGTCTCACATGAAACGTTTCAAAAATGATATTTATAATATTTATTAGACAATGCTGAGACATTTTATGCTGTGTGGGACATCTTATATTGCAAATTTCTTTAAATATAAGTATAAGTGTATTTTGCATAAAAATCTATATAAAATATATTATAAAATAATTTGATTTACTAACAATGATGCATATTTTGTAACTATATTTTGTAACTATATTTTGTAATATTGCAAAAATTAAAGTCTCGAAAATCAAAGAATACAATAAAGTAATTAATGTATCAAAGAAGACAACAAGAAAGTTATATTATCTAAAATTTTAAGTTTTTCAACATTTTCAAAAATTATAATTTCAGGAGTTCGATCTTTAAATTGAATATTAAGAAGTAAAAAGTATAAATTGTAAAAGACGAAGAAAAGAGAAAATTTATAAAAAAAAATTTCAAGCAATTTATTTTTGAAAAAAAGCTTTGATTTTATTTTTTTATTTTCTTTTATTTTATTATTTTTTATTTTCTTTATGCATTAAGTTTTTTTACACATTTTTTTTATTTACTTTACATGTTAAGATTGTAATGTAATTATTATGTAATTATTATTAAGATAAATTTCTGATTTTATCCGGAATGTCTGTTATTATTATTTATAATAAAAAATTCAGAAATATTTTAATTTGCCTATAATTGATTCAATGAATAAGTTTTCTTTTAAAAGCTTATATAATTTATATGTGTGTGCTTGCTGTCGTGACGTGTATACGACGTGGAAAGCAGAGATGTGTACGAATAGTAATAGAAAGAAAAGAGAGAAATAAAAAGAATTTGCATTCATAATAAATAATATTAATTTCTCTGTTGCACAAAAAGTCATAAATCTAACCATTATGACTTAATTATTATAAAGCTTTCAAAATAATGCACGAGTGTTCATGTATCGAATCTCATCTCACGAAATTAAGGTTATTATGAAATTTTGACAAGTGCAAAACGTATATATAAATTAGTATTATATTTATATATACAGGTATATAATACATTATAAGAGCATTATATTAAGCTAATTATATACTGAAGTACAAATGTATTAATTAATTAATTTAATGTTAATTATACAGGTATTGTCACAAATTATAAAATTACAAAAGACTTACAAAAATCTTCATGTCTATGATGAAGCATGTTCGAAGATAAAGAAGAAATTTGCTTCTCCTTAGCTTTCAACAAATATTATTACTTTAAGTAATACAGATAATCAAAGAAACAGGATTCCTTAAGCAAAATAGCTGTTAAACAATTAGCCAAAAAATGAGGGCATTATTCAAAATATTATATTCCCTCTGTTGGAGCAACGCATATATGATAATGGGAATATGCATGGGTCTAAGTTTTAGCCTCCTCTTGATACCAATTGACATTGACAAACAACACGATATAGTGGAGTCTTTTGATCATTCCTTGAATACTTTGGAAGATATAGATCCCTATGAGCCAAGAATAAATACCGATAGTAAACCACAGCAAGTACAGAAAACAAAGAAAACTTTTGTACGTCCAAGATATTATTCAACAGAGCTTGGAATTAGGGAAAAATTGTTTGTGGGAATCATAACTAGCCGCGAGCATCTACACAGCAGAGACGTGGCGCTGAACAAAACAGTTGCTCATATAGTAGATAAAATTCGCTACTTTATCTCTATACCAGAGGGGACCAAGCCGAACGTTTCTTTCCCTGGAATAGTGGGATTTACTGACACAAGAAGCATTTTGAAACCTTTCCATGCTATGAAATATATCGTTGACAACTATTTAGAGAGCTACGATTATTATTTTCTAACTAAAGATGTGAATTACATAAACGCAAGAGGCCTAGTGGAATTTGTAAATAAAATAACTGTGAGCCAGAATGTTCACATAGGAGTTCAAAGTGAAATCGACACTTATTGTTCTTTAGGTAAATGATACAGATTTATAAGTTAGATTTATAAGTTGATGAAGCAATTAGTTATCAATTGAGACTAAAATTTTTTTCAGAATCCGGCATACTTTTAAGCAATTCTATTATACAAGAAATGAAAAATAATCTAGACTGGTGTGTCAAGAATGCTTATTCGGATTCAGATGACATCAATTTCGGTCGTTGCATTTTTCATTCCACCTCTATGCCCTGTACTAATCATATACAGGGACGAAACTTCACATTTACACAGTTGAGACCTGCGTTTAACTTTGAAAAAGATTTCGCCCGATTGACTGAACGAGATGAATTCAAGAATTCACTTTCCATATATCCTATTTACGACCACATGATGGTTTATAAATTCAACATGTACTTCGCCGCGGTAAGTTTCCTAAAATAATGTATAATTTAAATTGTTTGAATCATAAAATATTTTGAAAAAATATAATTCATATTGTGTACTTCATGTCACATGTTATTTTCAGATAAATTCCATTAAAGTTAACAAACAGATCACTGATATACGTAAAGTAATATCTGCAACTGCATATTTAGGCCCACCAAATCAACGTAACGTGTCGTGGCCCATTGGAAATCAACCTGGAAATAAACCTTTAGGACGCTTTGATGTCTTGCGATGGTCATATTTCAATGCGTCTCATGTTTTCTTTGAAACTGATTTTATTAACATTCAAGAACTAAAGGGCGATAGAAAATCTGATGTAGATTACGTAATAAATGCAGCTACGAATAATATCATAAATAAGTATGATAATAAATTGAACTTCGTCAGATTATTAAATGGCTACCTGAAATTCGATGCATCCAGGGGGATGGATTACATACTCGACTTAGTATTTAGCGAAATGACTACAGGCAGGGAAATAAGAAAGCGAGTCGAGATCTGCAAGCCGTTGGGAAAAGTAGAAATCATATCCGTGCCTTATGTGACTGAAAATACAAGAATTAATATAATCATTACTATCGACCTGAGTAAGAAGCAAGATGCGTTAAATTTTATTGAACACTATGCACAAAATTGTATGGAAAAGAAATGCAAGACCTTCCTCATGGTGGTTAGTTGAAATAATCTGTTTCTGAAACTATCCTATTTTTTAAAATACAGTATTAAAAATAGTATTAAGTATTATAAATAATAGTTTTATAATAAGATATTGGTTATTAGATATTGGACACTTATGTGTTATTTATATGTTATTTTTATAGATTCTCTTATACAATTTTGATTTACCGTCAAAGGGCAAAGGCGATGTCTATTTCGAAGTTAAAAAATACATATTAATGTTGAACGAAAAGTATAAAAAAGATCAATCCAAAATTACTTGGCTCTCAATACGATTGCCAGCCAATGTAACTTACACAGACTGGGATCCGATGTTGAAGATCGCCGTGACCGATTTATGCGCAAAAAAGTTCTCTGCGGAAAGTCTAATTCTTCTCGTCGAAACAGGAACGAAATTGAAACTAGATTACTTAAACAGAGTAAATATGTACACATATTATACATTAACATTATGCATAATTAACTTTAAATTAATTCGTTATCGTGTTTATCAGGTTCGAATGAATACTATTAGTCACTATCAGATATTTAGCCCAATTCCATTCATCGAGTTTCATCCCGATATAATTTACGCGAATGAAGCAGCCCACGACGAAGTTGACGTAAATAGCAATTATGGAAAATACGACGAACAGAATTACAACAATATCGCATTTTACGTTAAAGATTACAATGCAAGTACGTAGAGTATATATTTTCGTCAATTCGTATTGCGAAATTCAAATGTTTTTTTTTATTATGATGAAAATTTTATATTTCAAAATATTTCAGTGCGACAGACAGTCGAGGCGAATATTCCATTGGCACGATCAGATAAGGATATCGCTACTCTACTGAAACTTTCCAGGCATAGCCCTGTAACTTCTCTATTCGAAATGTACGTGTCGTTCAGCGATATGCATGTGTTTCGCGCGATAGAACCAACACTAAAGATAAAATACAAAGATATTAACTGCGACAACATTTTCAACGACAACATCTACAAGAGTTGTCTTATACTGAGGAACAATCACTTGGGTAAACGTAGTCAATTAGCTAGACTGATATTAGATTATCAGAGCTATCAAACATAAAAATGTGTAGATACAATCAAAGAGAATCCGCTATTTTTTTGTATTTGTTATGTACGCTTTATATTTTCATAGAAAACAAACAAAAAGTAGATATCTACAATTCAGAACAAAAATATTCGATACGTATTTGTTAGATATTTTTATAGATTTATACACACACACACACACACACACACACACACACACACACACACACACACACACACACACACACACACACACACACACACACACACATACATGAATCAATTATATTATGAACATTTTATTTATTCATATTTTATTCTCGAAATAAATATTCGTAATTAATGCAGTGTTAGTCTATACTTTTCATGCAAAGATTAGCTCTAATTCTTTTTTTACAATTATAAAAAAATAATTGCACCTACTATAATCATCATATACAAAATTTTAAGGAATTTGATTTTTTTTATTAATCCATTAAAGATGATCGATATATTAACAAGAAGATATCGTTAAACTAAGATTACTTAGAGAAGACTTTTTATTTAGAGTATTTGTTTCTTAAGTCTATCAATATATCACCGTTAATCACTATCCGATTCTGATTCCGATAATTGCAGATCATCATTTAAGAGATTGTCTGACATGAACAGTGTGGGTGAGGCAGTTGAACCGTTCAAATGACCTAAAAAAAAAATTAACGTTCTCAGATTTAACTTTAGCTTGACATTTAATTGAGTAGATATTTCCAATAAATTTATAAATATAAATGAATAATGTAAAAGAGAAAAAAAAGATATACGAATATATCTACTATTTTAATATATCTACTATTTACCGTTAATTGTTGGCACAGACACGTTTTCCGTTTCATAATCGCTGCTTGAACTGTCGGAACTTGAACTGCTCGAACTGGAATCGCTTTCTAAAGTATTCGATTTTGTCTGTGATATTGGAATTAATTGAGAAGTTACAGTTTGAGTAGAGGAAGATCCAGGCATCGATGTCGACAGAGCAAAATCGTCAGTGTCGGCTCCGATCATTGGAAGACTGGCCAAAGTTGATTGTGTATTTGATGGTTGTACTGGTGAACAACTGGGATCAGTGTATCAAGTGATTTAATATAGTTAAGTTGCGTTTTGAAACTTACTGTTAGTGCTAATAATAACATACATTACGTAAACTATAGATTGTTAGTACTATGACAGCAAATTTTAGAACATAGCCCTAATTTCGTTTCTTAAATATCTTATATAATAACTGTTGTTTGAGCCTGTGGTAAAAAAAAAAAAATAAAATAAAAATGTGTAAAATATAAGCACAAATAGCAAATAAATAAACTTATATCATATATAAATTTAGATAAAAATGAAAGAAATTGGTTAAAATTTTCCTCATTTCATTTTAATTTAAATTTATATCTAATACCTACCTATTATGAGATGTATTTGGTGGACTTGTTTTGTCATATGGCGATGCCTGTTGGGGACTCTGTTTAGGATGCAGTTGTAATGAAGGTTCCCTCTTTTTTCCACTAATAACTTTAGTCCTTCCATTTGCTCTACCATATGTAGGGCTCTTCTTAATTTCAACAGATATGGGATTGCTATTGCTATTGCGTTTGGGTTCCGCTCTGCGAGAAACAAAACTTGTAATGAAACTTGGCATAATATAATAGATATATGATGCAATACAATAAACTATGATAAATGTACCGTGTCTTTTTAACTTGAATATTCGCGGTTAGCTTCTCTAATGTAATCTCCCCAGTAACCTTGTCGAAAATCAGGACATATTCCTTATTGTAGGGTCTCTGCGACCCTTTGAACACAGTATGTGGAGTACCAGCGCCATCCAGATGAGGTACAGTGACCGTTATCGTGTTGTCTGAACCTACATCGACTCGGGCCACCTTAGAGTCGTCGACGCTTGCAGGCTTGAAATCATCTGGAAGAATTGTACACGAGATTAAATATTCTATGAGCATTGTATGCATTCTCTATCAAACATCTCTCTGAATTGAGACAAAGCGTATAGTGAAAAGAATTGTCTCGAGACCGTTTAACTTACATTTTAAGGTATGAAATTTGGAGCTATTACTGGTAAAACTAGGACCTAACTTGAGCTCGCGAACCTCGGGACCCAAACCGAGTTGCTCGACCATACTGGCACTCTGCTATTATTTTTTTTTTGTTGTTATCTCTCTATATAATTCTTTTTCTTTTTGTTTCGATGAACAAGAGGATTGAAGCAGAAACACGGAAAGCCGTTTCTTCTCTTTTCTACGTTATTCTACAGTACTCGAATCGTTCTGGAAATGATGAGATAATGGTACACGACTTCCCTAACGCTACTTGGCTCTCTCCGGAAGTGACGTTATAACGAACCGAACAACGACGAACGTATACGACGAAGGGCTGCTGCACATGAGACGATTATTTAAAATTATTTGCGTTTCATTCGATTGGTTGCCTTGGTTCCGGTCTATAATAGGTGATTTAAGTCTTAAGTCATAAGAAATTGACCAATCATAGTCGATTATTCTCCTATTCTTCGACTATGATTCGTCCATTTCTTATAGCTTAAGGTTTAAATCACCTATTGTAGATCAGAATTTATGCCCGAATCATATTAGAGATTGAGTTGAAATTAAATTGAAATTGGACATTAAATAATCAGAAATTTTTTATTATAAAGTTATAAACGAATAT